AGGAGGGGAGCACCGGCACCGGAGCCACCGTGTCCCAGCCCAAGCCTGGGCACCCGTCCCCGAGGGACAGAGGTGCTGCTTTACAGCACTCCAGGTGCTTCCCCCGCTTAGGCAGAAGAGCAACACAAGGTTAAAACCAGCCGCTGGGGAAAAAAACATGTTTATTCACAACCGGCAGAAGTCATCTGGCTTATTGCTTACAACCAGCTTCATTTTTACCAAAGAAGCCAAGTCCCCCCAACTAGGCACAGTTTCAGAGCCCTGCACCAAGAGAGTTTTACCTTGTACGCGTCCTTCATCATCCTCACTTTTTGTCCTGAGCACAGCCCCTGCTCACCACCGCTTTCTCCCCGAGACCTTATGCTACCGACGTGGCTTTTGCCATTAGTCTAGTTAACGGACAACCTATCAAACGCCAAAGGTTATCACCTGCTACATCTCGTACACGTTACTTGTTTGTAAGTCTCAGGATCCATGGGGCTCCCTGAGGACGGCCAGCTGCAGCTGCCAGCCACGGAAGACAAAGTGTTCAGCGAGCAGCTCCGCTGTAGCAGGCTGCGAAGGAGCACTCGCCCCCTACAAGTCGCTCCCAAGCTCTGGCAGAAGGCGTGCGCCCACCATCACGGCACATCGGGCTGGTGCCTGCACCCAGGGAAGGCAGCGGACTTGCTCTAGACCCACACCAAGAGCTCCAGGACAGAACAGAGGGCACCCTGCTCCCAGCACAGCGTTCCCAGCACTGCCACGCCGTCGTGCACGCCCTGCGGACAGCAAGCAGGTCTCAGGCTGAGCCCAGCACTCGCAGCTCCCTTCCCTGTCCAAACGCCCGCCGCAGCCAGTGCTACAGGGAAAGCCCGCAGCAGGCTGGGCGTGCCCAAGACTCCTAATTGCAATTTGGAAGGAAGAAAGTATGGACGCTGCACACTATTACCAGATTCCCACTGTAAATCTTGGCTGTGCAGAGCAATCAGCTCTGCCCGCCACCCCTCTGGTTTGCCCAGTAAGCCCCTTTCTAGGCTAGAGCCCAAGCTCTAGTAAGAGGTAGTCAGGCTGTCGAGTGACTCTGCCTTCCCCAGGACACCGCCGTGTTACTCAGAAGCATCCGCCTTGTCCTACATCAACAGTTTGGAGTTCAAAGGGTATGTCGTGCAGGAGCTACAACCAGCTGAGAGCTAAGCCATCTCCCAGCAGGGCTCAGTTTGGTCCACGGCAGCTACTCCGTCCTGCCAGTCAGAGCACTGTTTGCCGAGAGCCCCAGCACTGACAGAGCCACTTTCTCCATCACCAGGTTCATAATGATCGATCCACAAGACTAACGTAACAGCACAGGTTGCAGGGGTGGACGCGGGCTCGGTGCCAGAGTGGCAGGGAAACAACCCCGGGCTCACAGGCATCACCTCCCCAGGCCTGCAGCTCCACAGTGACTGAGCTGCCGCACGAGGACAGGAGACAGCAGAGCTTGGTTAAAGCCAGCAGGCACTTCACCTTGAAGAAAAGTCCCTTCCCAGACAGAAAGACCCCACTAGGACATTCCCTGCTTAACCCAACCTGCGGAGTAGCCCAGCCGGGACCCCGCTGGGAAAGCCCCCACTCAAAACACCCTGTCAAATTCAGTCTGGTTGGTGGCGGCCGGGTTCCTGCCCTGGTTCGCCGGCTGCTGGGGCATGTGCCCACCTCTCCTGCGCGGTGGGGCCAGGTACTCGAACATGGACTGGTTGTGGGTGGACAGCATGTTTTTGAGGTCCGAAGGCATGGGGTCTGACCAGAAGAAGTCGTGGTTCAGCGCATCGTCGCTGTCGATTCGCTGGGCAGGATCCAGCACCAGCAACTTGTCGATGAGGTCGAGCGCGTAGGGGTCTTTGACGTAGGCTTTCAGGCGATCCTTCACCTTGCGCTTCTGGCCCTTGGGAAGATCCAGCTTCTGGTACAGCTCATATTTATCTACGTTCGGCCAAACCTGGGAAGGGGCAGAAAAGTTGGGAAGAAATAGTTACAGAGAGAACAAACCATTTTTGCTGCTAACACCCTCAGGCATACCAGGGTGAGGTCTGCCGAGAGAACAATACTATTTTATAACCTCCAAGCCAGCAGACCTTGTTCCCACAGTATAAGGGAGGCACTAAAGCGTGCACTAAAGCCTGGAGACACGTGGACAAGTCAGGACAGAGTCCTGATGTGAAACAGCACACAGGATGCTTTAGGATTTCTGGTTCTTCCACAAAAGAGATACTAGAGAGCATGGCTCAGGCCAGCAATAACATCCATAAAGGTAAAACAACAAAACACTGCTAAATAACAACCTCGATGTAGGTAGCACTTATCCTTAGAAAGCAAAGCCTGTTGCAATCACCAGCACTTACGTCAACCCTGATGGGGGAGAGACCACAGCAGGTATTTACATGCAAAAGAAAGCGCCTTCAACATATGTATATAGTGTATGTAACTGAGGCATCAGGCCTCTGGAGGTGCCTGCACAACACCTCCCAGCAGATTACAGCCCTGGCCAAGAGATCCCTCGGCTCCATCCCCCATGAGAGGGAAGGACAAGCTGCTGTTAAAATAAAGAGTTGAGAAAGGGCTGAGTGCTCACAGCAGGGCTGAGCTGATGTCACAAATCACAAGCCCAAATTAAAGAGGCTTTTCAAGGTGACCAGTGCAAAGCACCCGAGACAAACCTCTCGCCACAAAACAAAAACACCCCACCCTTCTTTAAGCAGAAATTCAGAAGGTGTTTATCTGAGACAACCCCCTAAGAGAGGGCAGAACAGATTCCTACACATAACGTTCTGTTCTTTCACACTCACAACAGCCAGCATCCTCTCTGTACTCAAAAACAAGGACACAACTCACCCTTCCCCAAGGAGATCTGGAAGGCCAAGTTCACCCTCTTACATTTAGGAGGCTGAACACAAGTAATGCCCAAGAGCATCAAGGAAAGCGCAGCACCCCCCTGTCTGCTTGGCTCCCAGGAGGCAAAGAGCATTTATTTGCAGCCTCAGTGTCAGAAGCAGGCACACTCCAGTGCTGGGAGCACACAGCACCAGTGACCAGGGCAGGGAAGAGGCCCAGGAGCACCAGTCCCGCTCCCTGCCCACACCACCACTTCACACCTCTCTCCTGCTGCCCTCCACAGCTTGCCCACACTCCCGCCCTCACCTCTGGCGTGATGGATCCGCAGAGCTGGCTGATGAGGGTGAGCTGGTGCTGCTCTGTGTTCCCCTGCATGATGGGGCTGCGGGTCCACATCTCTGCCATGATGCAGCCTCCGCCCCAGAGGTCAATGGGGGGACCATAGTCCCGCTCCCCTAAACGGAGATGCTGTGTTAGTCACCCAGGGGAATGAGAAAGGCAGAGAAGCCGGCAGAGCCCATCACCTCGTACCTAGGAGCAGCTCTGGTGGCCGATACCACAGAGTCACCACCCGGTTGGTGTAGCGGTTTGGCTGGCTGTTCTTAGCCAGGCTGAAAGCTCGAGCCAGCCCAAAGTCCGCAAGCTTCAGGACTCCATCCCGTGTGATCAAGACATTTGCAGCTTTCATGTCTCGATGCAAGATCTGTAGAAGGACAAACATCAACAGGTTAAGCCATTAAGGTACCGTCCTTGGGCATCGCAGGGCACTCGCACCCCAGAGGCGGAGGACAAGGAAGGGCTTCCCTCCAGGCTGTGCTAAGACACCTGCTCCTCACAAGGCCACGGGCAGCAATGTGACCTGAGGGCTCAGCACAGATCTGGCCCATTACCTTGTTCCTGTGGATGTAGTAAAGTCCATTCAGTAGCATCTGCATAACTTTCTTGATCTCTGAGAGCGTGAACTTGACATGAGCATTGCTGAGAAGGCCAGCCAGGTCGTGCTCGCAGAAGTCAAACACAAGGTAGATGCTGCCCTTGCAGCGGTTGTACGGAGAGGCTACGGGAGAGGCAAGGAGGGACTGTCAGCAAGGGACCCGCAAACCCGTCACAGCTCCTCCTGACCTCCAGCCACCCTGCTGCTTGTACAACACTCACTAGACAAAACCTCAGGGCACAGGAACCAGAGACAGCCCGCAGGCCTGAAGATCTTCATAAAGAGGCACTAAGACAGCACAACCAGCAAATGAAGAACATGGGATGAGGACCAGAGTAGTGAATGTCAAGGAAAGGGCATGGAAATGCATAACGGCTGTGGGGTTTCCTCCCTGCAAGCTGTGGCTGGTAGGTGCACATACCACTAGCTGCCAGCCAAGCACAATCACTGATTGCATCAGCGATAGAGGCGGCACCCACAAACATAGCCCCAGGAAAAATGCAGAAACAGAACATCTGTCTAATATAACATCAGAAAGTAAGGTTTTCTGCAACCTCAAACAGCATCTATGAAAATGGACTGATCTGGATCAAAGCGATTAAAAGGTCCAACTCCCATAGCAATTTAAAGTCAATAACAGGAAACCTCAAACGAAGCAATCGATTTCAATCTTGTTCCTAGAGCACACATGCAAAACATTATTAAAAAGGCTGATTTTCATCAGCTGTAATCAGCAAAACCTGCTCATCAGCAACTCCAACCAGAAAATGAGGGCTGAGCTCAGCCTCCATAGAAACACACCCCTCTCCTCTGCCAGCCAGGAGGGTGACTGCTAGACTAGGTTTGCAGTTCCTTACTCTGCTGTGCCTTTACCACGTAAAAAGAGAAAAGCTTAAAGTTTGAGAACAGCAAATGCAACATTTCCACTCTACTGGAAACTGAGGTCAAGGTAGATTTGGATGAAAACTGGAATTCAAACAAAACACAAACAATCAACACATCTAAAAAATATTTACCTTAGGTATGCCAGACACACAATCATCACAACTTGTTTAATCACGCAATGAATTAAAAATTAACTTGTTGTCAGTGTTTCTACTTGAACCTGTTCAGACTGGTTCTAGGCCAGAGATTTCTACCAGCTCGGTGATTGGACTTATTTTTAAAAATATCATCACCAGTCACCTGCCACTTTCATTTTTATTTAACTGAAATGACTGACTAAAGAATGGCAGGCTTTAACATCCGCTGTCTCATTCAAAAGTATTTTTCCAGGACAAATCCATATAAGAGAATGATATATAAAAACTAGCAGATGTTTTAAAGCAGTTTCACTGGAAACAAAAGCCCAGCCAGGTGCATTGAGCATACCAGTCACGCAGCAGAGGCACGCTGGTGCAACAAGGAGGCAGAAGAGCATCTCAGAACCGCCCCATGTAGAGCCCTGGCCCTCACGGCGGAAGCAGTTACTGTCACCCACAGAAGGAGACATGGAACAAGTCTCTGGCTGGAGCTGTGTCATCAGCTCAGAGCTGCCACAAACCATCATGGCTCCAGCTCCTGACAGGGAACTGGCTGTGCACAGCCACGACATCAGTTCCAGGCTGGGAAACCTCTGCTTCAAAATCTCTCTGGTGATGATTTATTTAAAACCTCTCAGACAGGAGTTTTCCAACACAGGCAGAATTCACCACCACAGCACAGGCATATCCTAGCAGGACTGACAGTCCTAACTCATTTAAAAACTCTTTTCCGAGATGAGCAGTCACCATCACGGGCCCACGCTCAGCTAGAGGACCCCACTCCCAGCACAAAACACCAGCCTGCTCAGCAGCAAAGGAGGGCTGAAAAAAGGTGACAGTCAACGTAAGGGAGACCCCCGCAAGCTACCTTTGGTCCTGCAGATTTCTATGAGGTTCACCACGTTCTCATGTTTGAGCAGCTGGAGGATTTTAATCTCTCGCAAGGCTGTGATGGGGAACTGGAAAGGAGAAAGAGAAGACAGGGATCAGGGGCGCAGGAGACCAGGCCACCCCTGCCTAGGGAACAGGAGACATATGACCACAGTAACTTGGCAGGGAACCTGCTTGAGCAGCACTGTGACAAGTCACTGAAGGGCAATCAGAGCTTTAAAATAGAACACTAACACCAAGATTGCAAAATTTTTTCATCATCAGAGCACCACTGGTGAGGGAGACTTGCCACGAGACAGAGGTGTTTGCATAGTGCTGAGACAGGCACACAGACACCTCTCCCTCCTCGGCACATTCGTAACAGGACATGGTAAAGCCCAGCTCAAGCTGCAGAGCACACTCCTCAGCTGCTGCCTGTTCTGTTTAAGCTGTTAATTCTCTCCTCACCTTACCTCATCTCTGCACAACCCTGAGCATATGTTTTTTCTTCCACAAATGGCAGCCAGTGCGGAGCTGTGTGCCAGGGGTGACGGGGTTTCGCACAGGAGGAGGAATGTGTGGGCCCAGTCGCCACACAGCTACTGTCCCATGCTTTTGCAGCCAAGAAGGTGATACCAGGCCGTACACCTTGGCAGGGTAACCACAAGACCCACATTATCACAGTATCAGTAGGAGAGGAAAAAGACCAGAGGGCTGGGATTCTGTCCACACCCTTAGAGGTTCAAGATCTGGCACATTATAGCAGTAAATATTCTTAAAGAACAGAGTGAAAACACATCTCTGCCATCCAAAAGATTAACTTTCAACTATGAACCCCACACCCAGGCCTTCCCAAACAACCCAGCCACACTCCCACACTTACCCCCTCCTTCTCATTTTCCATCAACACTTTCTTTAGCGCTACCTTCTTGCCTGTCTGACGATGTTTGGCTTTGAAAACCTCCCTGTAAAAACAGAAAGAAATCTGTGAGCAGCACAAGGAAGAAGGGAAGGAGCCAGATGCTCCTGACCAGGGACAAGACCAACTTAGACACACCAGAGCGCCATACAGACATCTCTGTGCCGAGCCACCATCCAACCCAGCCACATCCCCGTTGCACCAAAGGCCCTCAGGACTAGCTGAGCCAACCCAGAGCCCAGAGGTCCCACAACCCCACAAGAATTTTGGGCAACGTTGCACCTTTTGGGCAAAGCTACATGTTGCTGCCCCGCCTGTCTCCAGGGTACACTCTTCTTTGCCAGAGCCTGGGACAAAGCGCGGCCTCGGGGACGGGGGAAATAAGAGGGCTCGGGTGCCAGCCTGGTTCCCTGAGGCCAGAGAGGTGACTGGGGAAAGGACACCCAAGCAAAGGGGCCCTCAGGCCTGGGGCGGGCGGGCCGCGGGGCTGAGAGGGCCGAGCGCGGGCAGCAGGCCCGAGGGCGGGGTAGGCCGAGGAAGGCTGGGGAGGGCCGGGGCCGGGCGCGGGCCGGGCTGGGGCCGACCAGACGCTCACCCGAAAGTTCCCTGCCCGATCTTGGCGAGCTTCTCGTACTTGGAGACCTCGTCGCAGAAGGGACACTCCACCATGTCGTACTGCTTGGCCATCGCGGCCGCCGCCGTTGCCACAGCACCGCGCCACGCCCCTTCCGTCGCGGTGGCCACGCCCCTTCCGTGCATTGTCACGCCCCTTCCGCGCATTGTCACGCCCCTTCCGGCACACGCTGCGGCCCTGGCACCGCCCCGCGAGGCCTCCTGGGACTTGTAGTCCGGCGGCGGCGGCCATGTTGTCACCGCCCGTCACTCTCCG